AAATAAATAAATTAAAAAAAAAAAAAAAAAAAGAACAACGTTCACAAGTAAAAAAAAAAGAAAGAAAGAAAATGACACATTCCCTTTTCCCTAATTAGCTACCACTTGGAGTGACTATTCACAGAAATCGATGCTACTACATTCTGTAATTTTTTTAATGAACTATGGGATCACAAGTTAATGAGGCTCTTAGGAAAAATCATTAAACGTATAATAAAAAGCTTAATAACACATCATTAGAGAAGTATGTTCTAGAAGGCACCCACTTCGAGATAATTCTGATATATTTGGTATAAAAAAAAAAACCACCGCCGAGCTCCAGGGGGTCCCTCCTCTAGAATCATCTTCTTCAGTTGTTTGGAAAATAATGGCACAGCATCAGCTACCAGGCTCCGGACGCGCAGGCTCAGCGGCCACGGCTCACGGGCCCAGCCGCTCCGCGGCATGCGGGATCTTCCCGGACCGGGGCACGAACCCGTGTCCCCTGTATCGGCAGGCGGACTCTCAACCACTGCGCCGCCAGGGAAGCCCTCTACCTTTTTTTAAAGTTTTCCAACAAGCCTTTCCTGGACTGCTACCTAGTGTATTTTGTGCTTTTACTCTTGTTTTGTTTCTGCAAACCCTGGCAAACGTGTGGGTAGCGCCTGCGCCTTTAACAGTTCTGCAAGCTGGTCAAGGCCCAGTTTCCCTGGGCCTGGTCTTCGGCCATGTGCCGCCCTGGGACACTGGAGCGCACGCCTCCCCCGTGCCCTGGCCTGGGCTCTGGGAAGTGGAGCAATGGCTGTTCAGCTCATTCGAGGGCTCGCCAACATAGGCATCCCCGAGAATAGCGAATCCGACCACCTTATTCCCGTGCATCAAACCCTTCAACACGCCCCACTGCCTCCGGGACAGCGTCCCAGCTCCTCATCCGGGTTCGAGGCCTCTGTGACTCGGCGAGCCCTCTCTGCCCTCTACTTTCCTCTCCTGGCCCCGTTCCCTTGGCCAACTCCTGCTCGCCCCGCTCACAACTCCCGTTCTGCTTTCTCCCTGCTGAGCAGAGCTCACCCGTCCTTCCTCTCGTCCCCATGTGGTGCCACAGCTCTGAGCTCGTGCCTCTAACACAGCCCTTGCCACACCGCACCGCAATTATTGTCATACTTGCCTATTTCTCCTACTAACTAGACTACTACCAACCAGATGATTCTAACCACCTAGACTAGCCTGAGGTGAAGAACTCTGTCCAATTCGTTTCCAAAATCCCAGTGTTAAGCTCAGGTCCTGGCAAATAAAAGTGAGCAGTTTGATAAATGCTTATTAAGTTAAAGAAAATCCTATCTGGAAAATATCCAGGGGTCCTCGAAATACCCATGCCACCACCATTCCCCACCCCCCTCCCCAAGCGTCAGTCCTGCCCCAAGGACCAAGCTAAGGGGACACAGTCAACGTGAAGGGCAGGAAGCCACCTTTGGTTTCTGGGACTAAAGAATGCAATCTTTTCTCTAAAGTGTCACTTCATATCAACCAGAAATCACAATTTCCATTTTATTGTGCCTCTGAGTGAGGGCAGCAGGGAAATGACCGAGTCCCGGAAAGGCGGAAAGGCGGGCTTTCTGGCTGCGTGCACCCGACCGACCTTCAAGAAGCACGCACACCCTCGGGTTCGTTTTTTCCCCGTGGTGGGTGTTTCAGTTCTGCTTCTTTGTTAACAGCTGCAAAACGGGGCTCCCTCTCTCAATTTCTGTGCACAGGTCAACATAATGGGAGTTCATTTAAAGCAAGCGAAAGCCACACAGGGCAACACTAGGGGACACTGTCACCACAGCTAACAACACGGCTCGCAGTTCGAAGGAGGCGAGGCCTGCAAACTGAACTTCCTTCCCTTGGCTCGCCAACAACCGCTAGAGACTACAAACGCCAGGCGTCAGTTGAGAGTGGAAGTCGCAGTCGCCGACAGCGGGCAGGCAGTATCCGAGGCCCTGCGAAGCCCCCATGTCTCCTTGGTGCCTTCCTAGAGGAGGCAGCCCACACCTGTGCTTCCAGAAGTTTGGACATACGATTTGGGGAACGGGAACGTGCCAGAAACACCCAATGCACTTGCCTCTCAAATCCACCAACAAAAATCCACGCAAGAGTCAAACGCATTGTGGTTACATCTCCTACGACTCAAGAGACCCGCCCCCCCCCCACCCCCCTTAACTCAGTAAGAAGCGCTCCAAATGCCAAACAAAACAGAACGGAAACCCACGGCTTTAAAACACCCTTGCCATAGAATGAAAAAACTCCTCCAAATGACTAATCTTTTTACACCAAAAAACCCACAGCACTTCTCAGCTCTCGGCATATGTGGAAACACACTGAGAATAAGAGGATGAGTCAACCCGTACGCAGAAACAGAGCCGGCTCGAGCTGCAGGGTGAGGCCCCGGGCTGCGTGCACAGGCAGGCGTCGCTGCGCCCCAGCGGGCAGCAGGCCACCCTGAACTAAGGCGGTGCGCCACCTTGAGGCGCTGTGAGCAGCGAGGCTCTCACTGGACGGACAGCTGGGCGGCCCCGGGCTTACCTTCAAGGTCTTCACGGCCACCGTGAGGCTGTATTTCTTCCACACGCCTTCGTACACCTCCCCGTACTGGCCCCCGCCCAGCTTGTGCTTCATGGTGATGTCCGTGCGCTCCATCTCCCACTTGTCGTAGTTCGGGGACACTCCGTAGACGGTGGGCTTGTTGCGTTTGGGGGCCGGATAGTGGAGAGTGGTGATGAGCCCGTCGGCCACCGTTGAGTGGTGATGGACCAGCTCGGCCAAAGTGTTGAAGCGACTCTCCGAGGAGACGTAGAGCTGAGGGGACAGGGACGGCCTTCAGCCACCGAGCGACACACGCGCCAACAACTCTGGAGGCCAGCTTCGCTGAGCCTTAATTTAATGCACAGCAGAACCTCAGATAAACGACTCTCCACACAGGGCCGAGTGTTCAGAAAACCACTTATGTTGTGCTCCTCCATGACCTCCTCCACCTGCCTAATTTTCACATGTCTGGTTCTCTGTAACCATCTGGGCCCAGCGTAAATGTCCATGACGTACGTAGTCCCTGACCACCCAATGTAGAGTCATCACCCGGCACCAGTTAGTCATCATTATCACCTGTCTTACTTCTCTGCGTTGCACTTACCACTAGCTGACAACTCCTTGTTTATCTGCCTGATTACTGTCTGTCTCCAGCTACTAGAATGTCAGCTTCACGAGAACAGAGCCCTAAGCTGTCTGCTTTTACCCTGTATCCCCAATGTCCAGAACAAGAAATGAGCACGTAACAGGTACTCAATAAATGCTGTTGATTAAATTAATAAAGAGGAGAACTTAATAAGCATTTGCTGACTGGAAAAGGAAGTAATTTTTCATTATTATTTTACCTAAAACCTATAATTGTATCATTATCTAGAACTAGACAGTGATCAGAGATGAAAATCACTATAAAACATAAATCTCCTTCTCATTCC